GCCATTTATGTTCACTTGCAGGTCATCACGTGACCTTAGATGACCAGAACTCCAGGAAAGTCGCCTTTCTTTTCTACCTGAAAATTCTTATTCAATTGTTGGGTGCATGGATCTAAAACGGTCTTAAATAGATTAAAACAACTCATGCACCTTGCTTGTCTATCATCACACGTTCGATTCGCATATGAAGAATATCGATTTGGTTAGTTGTTTCAGTGCATTAGCGAGGGAACATTGGTCACATAGATAATACAGTAGTATTAGCCTTATTCCGTCGGAAAAAAACAGAATGAAGATATAGTTTGGTCGATATTTCGGTAACATGCCGTTCTCGAAACCATAGCAGAAGTGAATTCAAAATTGCCTGCCGATGATCTTGCTCGATTGTTTCAGGGGTCTTTTTTAAACAGTAAGCCACAGTTTTCACAGGGCACCAATACTCAGGAGATTAAGGAAGAACGATTGCCAGTCATTACCAAGATGCTGTGAGAAATCCACGTCAATGAAATATGGGCTTTGCTGTTTGGCAACGGATATTCTCCACAACTTTTAGGTGGAATGTTGGAAGAAGAAAGCAGTCTAGAGCGCGTGGGGATGGGTGGTAGGAGGCGCGATTACGTCCTATCGGTAGACGGGTTCTTAACGCTACGTTACATATATGAGCATTTGCTTTGGAGAATCAGACACATTGTTAAAAAATCAAAACTGCGGGTACGCATAGCTTGGAAAAAACGATAATAAGCTAAAAGTATCTGGCAAAATCTTGCACTCGAAGCCAAAGTGCCCAGGTGGCAACAGATGTCATTTATGCAGTTATTGATTTCAAGAGGTTTGCACGCAAAAAATGTCGTTACGAAATCAAGTGTAAACAGTGTGAAAAAACACGGGAGGAACATGGTCTATTTCGGGGAGTCCATGTGCCCTATTCGTTTGAGATGTAATGAACACCTGCGAGACGTTAAAAACGAAACAGGAAATACTCCTTTCGGTGACCATTTTTGGCAAAACACGTATAAACTGTCCCATCTTAGACTGCCCCACTTTTTGGGGAATATCTAATGAAACACATTTTAGTAAAGCGTCAGAACTTGTTATTTCTAAAAATTGCACTTTGTGCTGCCTCTGCAGCAACGTCAAGACAAAATAAGGATATAGATTATAAACATTTTCGAGTCCAAATTATGCTTTGAACCCTTCATAACAGCACTACGCTTCTTCCCTGCAGTCGCTACCAGCATCTTCATGACAACAACCGCGCGCACTTATGCTGGTGCGCATAAAATAACATTTGTGATTGGCTCAGCGTGCAAGGGCCTGTTACCCAGAACTTGGTTGGTTGATGTTTGGACCAGTGCGTCGCATGCAGGCCCCCGCATTACTACACTTTGGGTAGGCGACGCTGCAGCGTCGTCATGGGACTAAATCATGTCACCAACGTTCGACGGCGTGAAAACGCTGTTCTTGCCGGCCGGTTTACTCATGTATGTTTCGCTAACCCGGATTTCTTTCGACCCCAGCGGATTCAATGAAGCATTTTAAGCTGGGAAATGGCGTTGGTTTGCACCGGAGCTCCAAAATTAGTGCTAAAGTGCGGTTCCAGCCTGCACCCGACGGTTGTTCCAAAGAACTGTCGCCGGAAATACTTAGAAACAGTGTGTATAAAGGAGTACAATATACAACAGCAACAACAACATAGGGTGGAGAAGAGAAACGGTGGCCTTGACGGGCTTGCAGCACTCTGGGACGCGCGTTGAGAAATTGGAATGTACACCCTGTAGCCTTAGGAGGGGCGTTGCCAGGGTGGATGCAGGGTTGGCTCGCCATAATGGGTTAGCGAGTGTGAACCCCGGGAGGTGTAAAGGCAGAGTGCGCCATTTCAGTTCAATGTACGATATTTTCCTGTAGAATGGGACGATTTCTGGCACGTTTTGCAGTTTCTGCCATTCAAGAAGTGGTGGCCAATATATCAGCTGGAAATAGTCTTGGGATGTGCGAGGGTAGTCGGGGTATATTCCCTGCGTACCTGCTCACCTAACCCATCTCTGTTGTGACAAATGTTTGACATACGCAACGTAGCGATCGCCAGCTTTTATGGTAGATCATTTGAGGGAATATTCCACATTTGTATGGCGTTTGTAATTGAAATACCCATCTTGAGGACCTTTTGATGCAGTTCACGGTCATGTCCTTTTTAAGACCCG